AAGGAACTGCTTGACCGTTTGCGCCCTCGACTTCTAACAGATTACTGATGGGTTTAATTGAGAGGTCAGGTAAGTGTTCTTGGTAAAAAGAATTGGCAATGGTGGTTACCTGGGACCCTGAATCCAGTAAACAATTACATTCAACACTGTTAACTGAGACTGTAGCTGTGCATCGCCCACCCACTAATCTTTTGGGAAGTTTTGGCACTGAATGAGCATGAACTGGCTTGCAAAAAAGTCTCTCTGTCCTTTCCTTAGAGGGACTTGGTTCTACTTTAGCACCTATCTGTCCCACGATAGGAGCTTCTACCGGTTTAAAGGAGGAGACTGAGCAATTGGCTTTGACATCTCCCACTCGCGCTGCTTCTGTCTAAGAGCAAGTCTTTTAGTTGCAACTAGTGCTGGATTTGGCTCGTTGCTACAGCTAGAAGCTATGTGCCCATCTTCTCCGCACTTAAAACAGTATCCAGGCTTTGGTCTGGGCACCACTGCTGTTATCTGCTGAATCTGTTTGGGCTCATCTGGAATTTTAGTCCCCACACGGGGTTTTGACTCTTTTTGAGTTTTCTTTGCCTTTTTATCTGTGTTGTTAACCTTAAGCTGTGCAATTTGGCTCCTGAGCTCAGCGATTTGTTTGCGTAAGTCATCACAGTTATCATCTATTTCCAGTTCACAAGTGTTTTTACTCTGAGAGCATGTTGTTTGCACATTTGAATACACTCTAGTTCGTTGTGCCCCTAAGTGTTGTTTCATGCGTGCTGCTTTAGTAGCCTGTTTGTCTTCTTCAGTGCGCAGTTTGAGGAGAAGTGCTGTAAAATGAGGCGGGTTGTCTTTCTTTTGTTCGAGTTGCAGGTTTGAAATCAGCGAGCTGTCCCAACAGCCTCTGCAAAACTGCTTGAGCAGCTGCTGGTCGGCGTCACTGGAGGAAATTCCATTCCTCTGAATAACTAGGTTTAACAAGGTGTATAACCTCTGAAAGTAATCGGAAGGTTTTTCACCACTGTCCTGGTTTGTGTTTAAGAAGCGAGCAAAGAGCTCGTCGCCGTCTTCGACAGCTGCGTAAGCTGAATCGAGATGTTCAAGGTACGTTTCCGGGTCGGATTTTGGACTAAGAGCTTTAACGATGCTCGCTGCTGGGGCTGACAGACTCTCCACGATTCTTCGTACAATTTGGGACTTGGTGAGTGAAGGATCATTTATGCATAACACTACACTACTACGCCAAGTATCATAGTCAGTTTCAAAAGAAGGGTGTGGAACTCGCCCTGAGAACGGTTTTAGTCTGTATTGTGAAGTAGGCGGAGGGATAACCTCACTGCTTTTAACAATGTGTTCCACAATAACTCGCTGAACCTCAGGTGTGTTTAAAAGATTTGGTGGAATGCAAGGGTTTTGTTTTCCAGTCTCTGTAGGTGGACAATTGTCCTTTGAGTTGTTCATATAGTTAACTTCTGGTGTTAAAGGCAGGGAATATGTAACTTGGTCACTATGGAGCATTGGCTCTGGTTCAGTGACTGGTTCAGATGCATGGGTATCCCTTCCTAAAGATTCCCCAATTTTTGCCAGTTCCTCCATTAGAAGGTCTTTAAATGATTGATTGCTACGCGCAGCTATGTCCCTGAGCTCTGACAGATAGGCATCAGTGGCAGATGTGCTAGTTTCTAGACTGTACGCGCTGGCTAGGTCTTGAATATGGAAGAAAACATCTGGGTTCCTAGTACAAGGTTTGTCATAGGGTAAACATTGTTTCTTTAATTCCTTAACAGTGGCTTCATGTTGAAACTCCACAATAATCTGATCACAGTTTGGTAACTTAATGCGCCTGTTAACTGGTCCGAATCCTTCCATAAACCCAAAGACTTCGTTATCAAGGTCTGTATCAGTTAACCCACTGATTAAAACAGCATTTGAAACTTTGACCTTTTCTGTTTTCACAACTTCCATTTTAAAACACTCAAAAGTACCAATAATGCCAAAATGGCAAACCACTGTGACCTCCAGGCACTCTTATGATGTCAGTCAATGGTTAGCTAAGGTAACAACTCTACAATTCTCCTGGCTGGCTCGCCAAGTTTTATGTAACCGGATTACAGGATACAATAAGATAATTAAAAGAAAAAATAAACAAATGGGCCAATAATTAGGTTCGGGGAGAATTGGAGGTTGTTTAAGAATGACTGGAGTCACGGGTATAGCATGAAACGGTTTATATACTAAATTTTAATAATAATGGGAAATATAACACATAAAGATAACACACAAAAACAGATGAAAACAATCGATAATAGTAAAATGGTCGGTATGAGATTTGATCATATGAGTCACAAGTCAGCCGGCGTCAAGTCAAATCCCCACGCTTGGGGTGAAAGTCAGAGTCCGGTGGTGCGATTTTTTCCTACCACACCGTTGAGATTGTTCACTGAAGAGAGCAGTCTGCTCTTCAGTTACTTGAGATGTCCTGGTTCGTTCAGTGGTTAAGGCTCGCCATCTCCCTCGTCAGGAAGAAATCCAGTTCTCGTTCCAAGTGAGTGATCATAGGAGTCGGGATCAAACCCAAGGAAAAAAAAAAAAAACCCAGCCTGTAAACAACAGGACTGTTAGCGAGTTGGCATCGACCCTTCTCGTCACATCACAGCATAAAGTCTTACAGACTTAAACAAATGCTTCACTCTATTGGCATAGCCAATCATGTTTGGGTTCACAGTTCAACTAACATAACATCAATTTGATTGTCTATTAAAATAATTCTCAGTAGCTCTGGAAATATAATTACATATGACAACAATTGTTCAGCTCAATAGGCTCAGTTAGATTCTATTACTCTACACTATTCAACAAGAAATACATTCATGACAACAAGGATACATTTAGTTGTGTTTCTATACAGCATTGTGACACCTTGTATATCTGTAACACAATAAATAAATAAATAAATAAATAAATAAATAAAATGTTCTATAACAAAACTCAACAAAATATAAATTCTGGTCCTTTGGTCCACCTTTGTAAAATAATTCCTCCCTAATCAGTTAGCTTTTATTTATTTTTATTTATCTATTTTTTTTATTATTAAATGTTTGGTTAAGGGACGCATTGCTAATTCTATGGCGTTAGCTATAACGCCCCTGAGGACCTTGTACATCTAGGCCGTACCACCATTAACTGGCGGTTTGAGCCGTTAACTCCTGGGAATCCCATATGCCCTACCGCCGTTAACTGGCGGTTTGAGCCGTTAACTCCTATATGCCCTACCACCGTTAACTGGTAGTTTGAGATGTTAACTCCTGGGATCTAACGTCTAGCAGCCCACTGCTGTCACCTCGGTTGCTGTAATTAGCTTTTTGAATTTAATAATTTACTGAATTTAATCTCATTCACTCACCAACGCGCTCCAACGGTTCCCTCCTACAGAGGATTGGTTCACTCTGTCGTCTCCACACAAATCTATAAGAATGGAATTAATTTGATAAGCTATTTAAGTTTCCTTTTTTTTTAAGTTGCATCGTTAGCTTTTTCTCTTCTTTTTTCTTTACTCACCGCGTTGGTTCCAAGTTCCTAGCTCTTATTAGAAGGAGTCAAGTCCGCCTCTCCCTCTATCTATGCGGCACCCAAATCAGGGTTCTTCACGGCCTCGACCGTTGTTTTTTTTTTCTCTCTCTCTCTCTCTCTCTCTAACCGCTCAGTCTTTGCTTTCTGTATCTGCGTGCTGCACAGCCGTTTGTCTCTCCTCTCGCTCAGCTGCGTCGCACGGTTTTATTTCGCGGAGGCGGGACTTATTTCTCTCAGCCAATGAAATTTCAGATTCCCACCTGGACCAATAGTATACAGCTTTCCTCTTCTGTTTCTGTTAGGGATGTTCAAGATTCTTGTTTTAACCGATGTTTAATATTAAACTCGTTATTTTAGTTATTCACCCTTCCAATAATTCATTATGAAATTATCTATTAGTTAATTAGATATCTATTAATTAGTATTGTTAATTTCCTTAATTTATATTTTATATTTTATCTAAATTGAGGATGGATCATATTAGTAAGCCAATTAGTTAATACCTCATTAAGGTTCTAGCTTCTGGGTTACATCTCCATGTGAACCGGGTTGACACCTGAATCAGCTCAACTGAGTCCTTTTGAAGGAGTGGAGCAGCTCTCCGCTCCGGACTCCTTTTGGATGATCCGGCCAAATGATGGAGGACGCTCCCTTCAGCTGATTGTGGAGCTGAAAACATCCTCAGCTGGATTGAATGATAAACTCCTGTTTCTATGCAAATGCTGATGTGAATGTGATGGTTGATTACAAGTCACGAGTGAATGCGGAACACGCTGTGGGACTGACTTGTTCCAGCGATGCTCACCGTCCTGCTAGCAGCTACGAGTGGCAGAACAAAATCTGTGTGCAGATCCATCAGGAAAAGCTTTGGCCAGAATGTTTCCAGACCTTTAGGACCTCTGTTCTCCACTTCCATCAACACAGAGGGGCGTGTCACATCTCAAAGGCTCAATGTGTCCTGTGAGTTATATGAGATACGTGTAGCATGCTAACCAAGAATCCAAGTCATCCTGTTGATCTGGGATTTATAAAACATGTTTTGTGATTGTGGTTCCTCTCTTAATTAAGTCTGTATGCCTCTGTTTATTTCCTGGTCTCTAAAAGCCTATTTGATGCTCGTTAAAAATACATAAAGATGACTCAGCTTTGTCCTTGTAGCATGAGGAGTTTCATCTATAAAAATACACAAATCAAATGTTAAACAATAGCTTTTTGATCAGAAATCCAGAGGAACTAAAACTTCCTCAGCAAGACGACCAGGAAGAAGGACAATAGGAACCATCCAAACCACCTCTACTGACCCTTTTCTGTGTGGAGGAGCAGTGGCTCTCCTCAGACCTCCCCCAGGATGAAGGAGCTCCTGGCATCACCTCTAAGGCTGAGCCAGGAAGCTCCATCCAGCTGAATGCATCCTCAGCTGCATGGAAACATAAAGGCCTGTTTCTGTGCAGATGCTCCAGTGAACGTGAAGGTTGAATATGAGTCAGACGTGGAGGAGGGCCGAACTGTGGGACTGACTTGTTCCAGCGATGCTAACCCTCCTGCCAGCAGCTACGAGTGGCAGAACGAAACTGGTGAGCAGATCCATCAGGGAAACCTCTACGTAGTTCAGAGTGTGTCCAGACACTTAGGAGCTCTGTTCTGCACTGCCATCAACGACGAGGGGCGAGCCACCTCCCGACCTGTGAGGTTCAATGTGTCATGTGGGTAAACAATCATCTACGCTATGAACAATCTCAAACCTCTACTGTAATCCAGATTAAATCTCCTCACAGATGCTCCAGAGATTAAAGCTGAGTCTTCCTGCTCCTCGGAGGACCTTTGGGTAACGTGTGAGTGTATCGTGGACTCCAATCCTCCCAGCAGAGTCACCTTTAAGCTGGGTGACAAGATCCTGATTGGCAACAACAGACAGGGCGACGGTTCTTACACCTTCAGGGCTCTGCAGACCGAGATCGAGTCCTTAAAGTTTGTGCTCTGTTGGGCAAACAACACGATGGGAAGTTCGAACCTCCAGCTTCCGTTTCCTGCAGGTGGTTATAAGAGATTTGACATTTTAACAAAGCAAAATAAAGACGAACCCCTACAGCTGATTATGAACACAAAACCTAAGCACCGTTTGTTTTCAGATTGGACAGGGATGGTTCTCATTATTTACGTTGCTGCTGGAGCAGGAGCGCTCTCGCTGGTGGTTTTAATAGCAGTGGGAGTTTTTATCAAATGGTGAGTAAAAGAGACAAAATTCTGTTTATGTGGCTTAAATAAGAAGAAAGTTCCAAAATACTTTTAAAAGATAAATGTTGAATTATGTTATTAAATTCTTGCTAGATCCCGACATATACTGACATTTAAATCAGTTAGAAATGTATTTTTTAATTGTCAGACCACAACCATCATTATTAGTTTAATTTTTTAGTTAAATTAACTGAACTAGTGATTCTCCAACCTCACGTTAATAATTTCATTCTGAAACATTTTTGGCTGAGTCATTTTCCATTCCCTCCATCGACATAAATATACTGGACATCTCCTTTCCATAGGCTCCAATATCACGTTTTTGAGGCCAAATGGGAGGTGGCCACCACCGCCATTTTCACCGTGTCACAGGTTCCGTCAAGCCCAGACAATTCCACAAAAGGGAAGAGAGGAGGAGCTGAGGGTGGGGCTGTAAGGCTGGGATCAACTGACGACACACGGTCGAACTAGCTACAAGCTAACCTGAAGCTAACCCAATGCTAACGCGGAGGTGGGAGCTAAGCTAACGGCGGTAGCAACCTAGCTACAACCGGAGTTAACTGTGTACAACACCAGAGCTTCTGAGTCAGAGATACGCCGGGCTGACCGCTGGGTAAAACCGGGTGGAACACAGAGGTCTCCGAGAGCTCCACAAGCCGGCAGCCGCACAGCAGACAAGCGCCTCTGCAATCTGAGATGTGCAGAGCTGCCGCTGGGGAGAACCGGGTGGAAAGGTTTCCATCCCAGAGCTCCACAAGCCGGCAGCCCGCACATCAAACAGAAGCCGCGATTAGACAGAGATGCGCCGAGCTGCAGGGAGAAACAGCCGGCGGCATTCCGCGCAGCAAACAGAAGCCGCGAAGCCAGGAGAGAAACGGGTGGAAAACATCGGTCTCCCGAGAGCTCCACAAGCCGATAGTCGGAACCCAGCTCCACCAACATGTTATATTTCAACCCATTTTCTAAAGTGCAGCATTATGTTAAATGCACTGGATTTTACCCTATTACATTTAAATTTCATGGTTAAACAGTACATGTTAAAATCTAAGCTCAGCTCGGCAGTGACCTAAAATACATAAATATAATTTTACTTACCGAAAAAAATGAAGTGGAGACTCCTTGGACGCTCTATTAGTGCAATTAATGTCACAGCAAGTCATTTTGTCCAACAATTGCACTAAAAATATCCAAAACAGAATACACAAACACAGAGGCTCAAAATGCCGGAGCAGTTTCCAAGCCAGACCAAGGCTCTACTTAGGCCTTTCCACGGAGCTAGCTCTGTGGTCACGTGGGTCTGAGGTGGTGTGTCGGATGCTCATTAATTATACAGAATTTTAGGCTTTTAATACATTTAAACAGAAGAGTGAGAAAAAAAATCACCCCCCTCAGAGTTGTCATGAGTGTAAACTAGATAATTTAAACAAAAAACATGTTTTGGTACCAGGCTGTAGACATGTTTATTTCTGCTGTGAAATTGGTATTTTTAACATGGGAGTCAATGAGGATTTGCTCGCTTCTGACACCAGCCCCTAGTGGATGAGGGTGGAACTGCACTTTTTGGTACTTCCGGGTTTGACTCAATTTTAGAGCTCCATTGTGGGGGCTTGATTCCCTCTGAGCTAAAATAAAATGTTTTGTCATTCTTTCATATTCTATGATTGAAACACAAAAGATCATTTTTAACTAAACTGTATTTAACAGTAATCAAAATTTAAACCCACCACGGTAAATAAATGATGTTTCAGTAATTCTTTCCGCCAGATATTTGTTCCAGGTCCTGCTTTTGTTGTCGGGGTGTAAAGCATTAAGCCTCACTTTTTTAGATGTTTTCACAAGAAATTTTGTTTTTAAACAGGCAGTGAGGGACATTTTATTGCAAGTATGCTTTTTATAGGTATGTAAGAAAATATTGATATGGCAATTTATCGTGATATTTTTTCCTGCGATATTACATCGATATTCAAAAGCTGTGTATCAAAATTTTTGGAAGAATTTATATGCAAACATTTGTGTATTTTATTTTCTTTGGTGCAATTCAAACGCTGACCACTAGTTGACAGCTGTGTGCAATGGGTTTTGTTTCCACCATTGAAATGTAAATCCCTCTGTTATGTATAAGATACCTCGTGTTAAACATGTTACGTATCAGTTTGGACTCTTTATTGAAATTTTCTACAGTAAATTCAGTCTAAAAAAATTGCTAATTTTGTCTGACTGAATGTATCGCAATCAATGGTGATGTATCGTATCGTCTCCCTGTATCTTATTCTGGCGATACGATACGTATTGCCAGAATTTCACCAATACACATCACATCCCTACTATAAGCACACTCATTCAGCTTACGCCTGAACTGAATTGAGTCACGTTTACTTGATGATTAAACTTGTTTCCATTCATAACCAGATTGTTCTAATATTGATGTGCATGTTTTTTAAACAGTTATATAAAATTATAACTAGAATCTGTCGTTTTTAAACGGTCAGCTTGTTAATTGCACTATTAAAATAAAAATAAATGAAAGTTTGCAAATAAAATGGAATTTTCTAAGATAAATCTTAAATATCACACTGCATATTTTTCAAGTCCGTTTTACTCTTTGTAGTACTGCACATCTTGAGAAGCACTTAAAAGAAATTATTAGTGACTCACATTCACTAAAAAGCATTTTGGTCTCATGACGTTTATGATGCTTTCTGCTGCCCACTCTTCTGTGTGAACCAAATGGCCTTCTGGGTAGATATACCAGGCAAATGCCTTTAGTGTCTGCAGAAATGAGGAGGTCATTCAGAGCTCAGGGAAGATGTGGACAATTATCTCACCCAAGTAAAATGTCATATTTATGTAATGATTTTAAAACTTTTCGTTTTGCTTTTTGTGTGAAGAAAAACTAAACTTTTAATATCCTAAATGTTAGACACGATTCATTATTTTACTCTATCCCTCTAAAAGCTATGGCTATTATTAGTTACAACTTCAAATTTCTATTTGCAAATTAAATAAAGTTACTTTTGTTAAAGTGCAAAAAAAAGTCTTCAGATTAAAAGTCAGCTTTCTGTTTTACAGTTTTTGTGAAATGTTCTGTTTATCCAGCAGGGGGCGCACTAGAGACACAGAAGCCTCTAACATGAGTGCCATGATGACAGAAAGAGCTCAGGAAGCCCCCAAATGGGCAGCAACAAGCAGGTCACAGTTCTGCACTAAGTTAGAAAAAATGCATTTATTTTTATTTAATTCTGCTGTAAATAGTAAAAAAATACACTCTGCTGTCCTCCCCTCAGGAAGGAGACGTGTGATGGCACACCTCGCTCTGAAATCGATTACAATGATCATTTTTATGGCAACGTTGGGGTACGTATTGTTTTCTCTTTCATTCATTAAACTCATGCATGAGAGAGGAAAGTGATACGTGGTTTCTTTGACAGACCAACTGGGATGATCCCATATATGCAAACGTTCAACCTGTGGAAGAACTGCCGAAATCTGCCTGGATTCTGCAAAGACAGAAAATTCCTCAAGTTTTCAGCAAATAAACATAAAAGTTAAAGTATTTATTTCCCAACTTGTGTAATAAGTGTATCTACTGTGCTTTTTTCTGCTTTGCATAATTAGCTCTTTTGTTTGGCATCTTTTACAGTAAGCATAAGGACTAATAAACGTGTGATGCTTGTTAATGTGTGTCACTTACCTGATTTTCCTCTCCTGCGGGTGAGGTCACAACACCACAGCAACTTGCTGGCAAAGATCAAAATGTTGCCAAAAGTTCTACTTTGTAGAAAAGTTTAAATTTCACAGAATTTGACTTGAAAAACGGGGTCATTTTTACTCAGGAAGAGTACGTAGAGCGATTTTGTGGATGCGCTTAAATGTTGAAAAACCTGGCAGTCTGTGCCACAATCTGACAGGAAAACACTGAGAGGAAGTTACTAATCAAGAACACTGTGGGACGTGTGATCTTTGGGGAGAAACCTCTCACAACAAAAGTACAAATTTACATTTAGAAGTTTAATGACTACAATGCGATTCCCAAAGATGTGCGATGACATTCATCTCTCAGATCTTTGATTTTCTCATTCATGATGAAGACTTTTGTTTTCCACGTGTGGGGAAAAGCAGCTAAAATCTATTAAGTAAACGACCCAGAAAGCCTGGAGAACTGCTGACACCTTTAAATAAAATGTGTAAAGTACATGGTAGTAATTATAAAAGTGTATTAATTTGTCTGAGCTTAGAGCGTTTTACAAAATAACACAGAATTTGATTGGTTTTTGCTAATGCCACACACTTTAATACAGCCTAATACATTTTTATCATTTATTCCAAAGTCCAGTTACTTTGTTAACAAACCATTTACAGAAATGTTTCTGTTAAAAAACTGACTCATCAGCACAACAGTAACTAATCACATTTTTCAATCGAATAATGCAAAAAAAAAAATTAAAAAACGCTTAATTTTTGGTCTGAATCTTGTTTTCTCAGATGTCGCTTGATTCCTAAAACAGTTTTCCTCTCAAGATTTGGCTTTTATCCAACAGAGTTAACACATGGATCTGTTTTCTCCCATTGGAAAGGTCTGGACGAAAGACAATGACAGATTCGGTAAAAGATGCACAGAGAAACACAATTCTCCTCACTTGATGAGAACCACGGAGCTCTTTGCCGTTTTCCCTCCTCTGTACACCACGGAGCAGTTCAGGACGGGGTTGAAGTCTAAGGAATCAGGCACAAACTCAAGGACTGACTCGGTCTTCCACATCCAGAGGTTGATCTGTTTGGACCATGTGGCCGTGACGCCGGCCTGACTCCAGGAGAAACGAGGGGGCGCGGATGGGCAGGAGTGTAAAACGGAGCAGTAGGCTCTCACTGTGTCGAGGATCTGGAACGACATGGCTGGAGGCTCAGGCTGGCCTGTGGATGGGACGGATGGCACCAAGGTTACTCATGAAATAAAGAATACTGAATGTTTTACTGCCTAGAAGGGATCGTTTTGATACAATGAATATGTGAGCAGATAGTTGTGACTACTGAGACGCCAGTTAGCCGACGAGGGACTAAGACTAAAGCGGATTTCTTCGGTCCTACAACAACCTTAATATATTTAATCGTTTAAAAACAGCAGCTATCACATTAAAAGTAGCCCCACCTGAACTAGCCCTTAGCTTGTCAGTCAGGTAAAAACTAATTTTGTTTTCTACAAACGTGAATAAAAACAATGTTATTCAAATTAATTTTTTTATACAGAACTCCACATAAAGACCTTTAATCTTTAAATCTTCAAATAAACCAACATATTTCCAAAAATGCTCACGTATGACGTCGATGGACACTTTATTTTCCGTGAAGGTGAAGGATTTGAACTGCGGGATCCGAACCTGGAGGTAAAAAGGCCCAACGTCGGTGGTTCTGACGCTGTGCAGCAGCATGGAGCAGTTACCGACCTGAAGCGCTCCCACAAACTCGGTTCGCTTGTTGAACTCCTTGGCCAGTTTCCACTTTTTGAGATTGGTTGAGACGATGGTATTCCCTCTCTTCCAGAATCCCATCCATCTGTTCAGGACTATCTTTGTTGTGGGGTAAGTGTACCAGCAGGGGATGAGCACACACTCGCCCTGAACAGCAGGGATGGTTGACGGCACATCTATGGCCCACACATCACTCGCCGGCTGGACGTCAGGGACCGCTAAAGATGGAAATAACAGAACGGGAATTCCTATTTCTGAAATAAATATTTCACATGCTGACATGTGAAAGTGAAACTGACCCCAAAACAGCAGAACACACAGAAAGAACTTCTTTTCCATCGTTGATTTTTGGGAAAATCTGCAGAATAAAGCACTAAGGTCAAGAAAAGCCTCTATATCCTGGACTCTACATGCATCACTCACCTCAGAATCTTATTCAGTGTTTAAAGCAAATAAAGTGATGGACACTGAGCTGGAGTCCAGCTTCACCCTCAGGTCTGGTCAGATATGCTCAGTTTGTCTGATTCTTATACAGCTTCAAGGACTAAAAAAGACATTGTTGCATATCAGGAACCTTCTGATCCAGAGTTTCAAACTTCAATGGCTCCAGAGGGAAACACTTAGCAAAGAGTTTTGATGTGTGAACAAAGGTTTAAAGAGGACTTTTGAGGAAAAAAGACTAGAAATGTTCATCTGATGATTCTTCTGAACAAGGAAGTTCCTTAGAAAGGGTTCATGTATTAAGGAATCCTCTTTTCATGTGCAACTTCAAGAGTTTTATCTCTTAAAATGTAAATCATCTTTGTGTTTCCAAACCTTCCAGGATTGCATGCAAGTGCATTTTGTACTTCTGTATTTTCATGTGCTAAAATATAAAGTTTACATTCAAATGCATTTTTCTTTTTAGAAAATCTGCTGTTTCAACCCTGCAGTAGATACAAAGCTGTACTTATTCTGCTGAATGCCTCTTAACCCTCTGGAGGCAGGCGTTGCAACGTTAAAACCTACCTACCTGGTTACTCCACACACGTATCTCATGAGCATGTTTTAACTCAGAAGTTCCCCTGAAGGGCTTAGTTGTTCATCCTTTTATCAGAACTCATTTTGAGCCTGAGAGGGTTAAAGCGTGTTGCGGGGTCCTGATAGTAGTTTTTAGTCTGGTTTGAATTTTATTTTTACATCCTTTCTGGTAGATCTCAGTATGAATAAGAGTCCGACTCTTTCAATCAGGGACTTTCTCTCCTGCTGCTGTATTTCCACCCTTATATTGACCTCCCTTACAAATTATTTTCACTTTAGTCCAGTCTGATCAAATATGGAGATTTGGTGGATGTTGTTATTTGAAACTAACCTCTGTGGTTAGGTGTCCTACCAACACCAGAGCTCTGGAAACAAAAACAGCTTCTGTCTTTTAAGATTCTGTGTTTTTGTAACTCGATGACGCTTTTGCATCATCACTGTTACAGTCAAGGTCACATCTTGTTCCCTTTTACTCAGCAAACACCTTATCAGTCTCTGATGTTTCATTCCAAAAGTAACAAAAGATCTCCTGCATCCCATTTGCAGAAACAGTTTTCCTCACGCATGTGTAAAATAATAACAGATTAACTATTTTAATTATTGCTAAACTTTTGATATCTTAATCACTGATTCATCTTTTGTATAGTTTTTCAATGTATTCACTGCTGAATGTTTGCTCAAGATAAATATGACATTTTAATGATGACACAAAGATAGTTAAGATGATTTTGGTTCATCTTAGTTTCAAACTTAGAACCTTTTTTCAGTTAAGAATAAATAAAAAAGTTGGATTTGAAAGAAAAAATTCAAAGGGTGGAAGCAACAAAAACAACTCATACTTCCTCTTTTTAACTGAAAGTTTACTTTGTTTTACACACTAGCTGCCAGAATGGGCATAACACCGCACAATTATTACAATCAGCATGATGTTGCTAATGTACTCACAGCAGCTTTAAATGCTGCAGCTGCACCACAGGGGGTGGTCAGCCAGCGTGGCCACTTTACACCATTTCCTTCCTGGTTATGTTTTTGTTGATAGATTCAACAGAAAGCAGAACTTTTAGTATGTTAGCATTTTAGTAAAGTTGGGAAACAGTCAAATGTTACATATAATTTCCTGTCTTAGTCAAACGGAACCAACACGGGCCTCCAACAGGCTTTTTTTCTTAATCAAGAAACAAAATACAAAATGAAAAAGAAAACCTGACACTGAGCTAAAGTTTTAATGTGATTTAAAACATGCACCTCTTTTCAGGCAAACAGGTGCATGCGCACACACACACACACACACACACACACACACACACACACACACACACACACACACACACACACACACACACACACACACACACACACACACACACACACACACACACACACACACACACACACACACACACACACACAGCCTGAAGCACAGAATATGGAATGAGACAGAACATTATGCGTCTGTGACAGTGTGAGCGTCCTGTCACTGTGTCACTGTGACCCGATTGGTCATGCACCCTGGGTATAAAAACACCTGAGAACCTTTCTAGGTAGAGTGTGATTTATAAACCAGAGACTGCATGAAGCTGTGCATACTCCATGTTTTATAGATCGCAACCCTACTTGGTGTAAGTAAATTTGTTTTGCTGAGCTTAAGTACGGCTTTAGTAAGGATTCTACGCAATGTTTTTGTTGCCTCCCTAAGATGATGACCAGAGGGGCAACTGGTTTCCTGTTCAATAACGTGTGTCTGTGATAAAGAATAGAAAAAGGGACACACGTTGAGCTGATGTCAGTTTCACAACAGGAAGGTTTATTCTTCCTCTGTGCCCCCAAAACGCTACTCGATACCACTGCGTGTACTGCTCCCTCTAGCGGCTGTATGCGGAATAGCATTGTAAACTGACAGGTACACACATACAATCATAACAACAACCTTTTGGGGGGGGGGGGGGGGGGGGGGCTGTTTCCACCCGCTTTTTTTGATACGGGGCTGTTTTCTCCATCTTATTTCTGATACCAGATTTTACTAGAAAGCTATTTTCAACTCTCTACACTCTCCCCCACTTCAAGGAATGGCTCCTGACATTTGTTTCTTCAAGTGTGGACCCATCAGTTTATGGGTGCGAAGTTATTGTGGTAGTACGGCTGTGAATAGATGGGGTGAAATAATGATGGGATGCTGTGTGTCCACATCCAGGGTTGGCTAGCCGAAAGGGTGTTCATATCTGCCCTCCAGTGGCAGTATGATGGCTGACCCAGTACGTTGTACGTGAGTCTTTCCGCTGGTCTCCCCCTCCTTTGTGACCTCCTTACAAAGTCATTTTCTCTGTTTTCTCCATCACTTTCCTCCTTGCGTTTTTCTGCTAACTCCTCAGCTTCTACAACATCTTGTTCTCCCCCATCTTCTGGCCTGTCAAGTGGGCAGAACTCTCTTGCTGTCGCACGTAGCTTGGGCTCACTGTTAGACTTCTGCTTTGGAATGACAGTTTCCTGTTGCTGAGGTTGCTCCTGTTGAATGGCAGGTCCTTGTTGTTGAGGGTTCACGAGTCTGTAGCAGGGAATCTTGCTCCGGAGGCCGTAGTGGTAGGTATAACTACCTTCCTCATCAGAGCTACTTGTCGCTGTTTCATGGACCTTTCCTACAGGTTGTCTTCGCTGTTTTGCTTTTGTCTTTTCTTCCACAGGAAGTTCTTCCTCGAAAGGTAAGTCGTTCACTGGTAGTAGAAGGTTTCTATGAAGAACCCGCATGGCTTTACTACCTCTCTCTGGCTGTACCTTATAGACGGGTCCATCTCCCAGTCTCTCCACCACGCGATGTACCACTTTCTCCCAATATGCGTGCAGTTTTCCTGGCCCTCCTCTCTCTGACAGATTTTTCACCAGTACTCTGTCACCTGGCTGGAGGGTGGCACCTCTTACATGTCTGTCGTACTGCTTCTTGCTTTTGGCTGCGGACTGCCGGCTGTTATTTGCAGCTATTTGGTAAGCAACTCGCATCCTCTCAGCCCACTTTTGAACGAACGTTTGGTGGTTTTGTGCCTCAGTGTCTTTGCCTTGGTGGAAAAGTAGGTCAACTGGTAGCCGTGGAGCCCTGCCATACAAGAGAAAAAATGGAGAGTACCCTGTTGCGTCATGCCTTGTGCAATTGTAGGCATGCACAATCTGAGGCAGATGATCTTTCCATTCACTCTTTTTCTCTTCTTGTAGGGTGCGCAGCATTTGAAGAAGTGGATTGCACTGAGGATGATAAGGAGTGGTGCGTGAGTGTGCAATTCCTGATAGTTGTTGCAATCTTTGGAACAGGCTGTTTTCAAACTCACGTCCTTGGTCATGATGCAACTTCTCTGGATACCCAAAGCGAGGAATAAAGTCCTGAAATATCTTTTCAGCAGCTGCCTTCCCTGATTTGTTTCTCGTTGGGTATGCCTGCGCAAAGCGCGTGAAGTGATCAACGAGAACAAGGATATACTCATATCCTCCTTTGCTTGGCTCCAAGTGCAAATAGTCAATAGAGACCAACTCAAAAGGTGCACTGGTGGTGAGGGATCCCATTGGAGCTCTCTGCGGGATATTGGGATGCTTCTGTTTAATACACTGGCATTTTTTTGTCATGTATTCTTCCACATCTTGCTGCATGTACGGCCATTAGAACCGTTCTCGGGCCAGATGGATCACCTTTTCAGAACCTACATGCCCCATGTCGTCATGTAAGCTTTTCAGTACTACTGATTTGAGCTGTTCAGGGAGGACCAGTTGTCGGTTTTGGTTTGTTTTTCTGTAAAGTAGTCCATTTTCTACTTCTAACTTGTTCCACTCATAGAGCAGTCTCCTCGTCTGTTTAGACATTGTTTTTTTTTTCTTTTTCATTTGGAGTCCAAGCTCTCAGTTTCAAAGAAATAACTTCTTTAATAGCTGGATCTGCCTGCTGTGCAGCGGTGATATCCCTGGGAATGATGTCTGAAACGCTAGTGTGTGGTACAGCATTCCCATCATCACCGTTTAGTTGCAATGCAGCCACCCAGGGAACATCATCGTCTTGCACCAATTTTGTCCCCTGCCACACAGCAGAGACCACCTCCGGTGACACTGTCTCTGTATGGTCATTCATCTGCTGCTGCAGGTTCACGGGATACCTGGACAACATATCGGCATCCGCGTTCCTCTTCCCTGGTCGATACTTAATGTCAAAATGGAAATCTGCCAACTCCCCAACTCATCTATGGCCCACAGCATTCAGTCTTGCGGAACTCAAGATGTAGGTCAAGGGGTTATTATCGGTATAGACCGTGAAAGTTGGTGCATAATACAGGTAATCCCGGAACTTGTCGCAAATAGCCCATTTAAGTGCCAGGAACTCAAGTTTGTCCGAGTGCAGATGATAGTTCTTCTCTGCCGGTGTTAAGGTCCTGGAGCCGTACCCAATGACACGCAGTTTGTTGTTTTGGCGTTGGTATAATACAGCTCCCAGACCTTCGTTTGAAGCGTCTGTGTGTAACACAAAGGGAA